AGGGAAAGGTCTGGGGTCAAAGGATCTCGTTGGAGAAGAAAATCACCGACTTTGTCAGGTAAAAAAAAATACCGTCTTTCTCTGAATTCACAAATGTACCACAGACTAGGGGTCATTAATCTTTAAAGTAAACACCAAAACCCAACTTGTAAATGCTATAATTTAAGTTAGCTTATGTATGTACAGCAAAGGAAAGACTAGTATTTAAGGTATTTCTGAATAAAAACTGTAAAACTAAATTATTACCCATCTCAGTCAATCACTTCTACTTTAGAAAAGCTATTTTCTACTTTTTAGGTTATCTAAATGGATTCTCCAGTGACACAAAGTACTTTACCCCTGTATAACAAATACCCTTGACTCAGAAACAAGAAATTATAGGAAAAAGAAAAAATAAAATAACCCCCATTAGGGTTAGAACAGACCATATTTGGGGAACACTGCTGCTATTGAAAATTTCACAACTGGCTTTCACGTATGCTAAATTAGAGAAGTCTACATAAGTCCTATATGCAACAGCAGAGGTAAGTTTAGACAAAGTAATAAAAATACCTCAGAAAGAGATCAAAGTGCTTCAGTAAAGCCTTCAGATTCTTCTCAGAAAAGGACATCTTTCCAAGGATTTCTGGAAGTTTTACTGCATTAAAAAAGGCAAAATCATCTGTAATCAGCACAATCTGAAAGCACACAGGACACACTCAAGGATGGTCTGGGTTCATCTTTATCCTTACTGGAATTGAAATTAATTCTCACGTTATCAAACCAAAACCAAAAACTCTGAGAAAAGGAAGGATAATGGTTTCTGTGTTTTTTAAGAATCAGTCACTCAGGGGACCAGCAGTTGGTGTAATGGCTATGTCGTTGGACTCCCATGTGGTCGACCGCAGTTCGAGTCCTGGACCCAGTGGCTTAATCTCACGCCGGGTGCATGTGCCTGTGTGCCCAAGATCCCAAGAGGAGAATGAAGAAGGGATTTCTGTATGGCCATCCCCCCTGGGGGGTGATTTCTCGCTTCCTGTCTCTGTTTCTCTCGGTCTATCTGGCAAGCACACATGCCCTATAACAAAAACCTCTTCGAAAAAAAGAATCAGTCACTCAGTGTCTTTCCTTTGAAGAGATTAGCTTTGGATGATTTTTCTCAGGTCCCCAAATTTCCACATACATTACTTAGATATTTACAGCCTAAACCACAAGACATATATACAAGCGTGTTAAAATAAAGCAAAATGGGATCAATGCCATGCACTGCTAGGAGAGGCCAGATCCCACACAGCCAGATACATGTCTGCCACATGCATGAATGCCCAAGATCTGATGGGTTAGAGGACTAGAAAAGAGGAATCATGGTGTTGCTTCTTTCTTTCTCTCCTTCACTTACATATGCACACATGCACTCTATCATGAATAAAGAAACAAAACAAGACAAAGCAAAATGAAAAATGGGAAAAAGAAAGCAGGAACCAGATTCTTACCAAACAATCGCAGCAAATGCTGTGCCCCATAAATGTAAGAGGGTGGAGGCAGCTGATCCCCTGGCGGGTAATTATCAGGCACAAGCTTCCAGGACAGGACCTGGAAAAGCACAAATGGATGGCTTTCATTATTCTTAACATTTCTAACCACCTAAAAATTATCACAATACATTATATTAAGTAAAATTTACAAGAGACCATTGCTTTGGACTAAGCTCCTGCACTAGACCCCAATTGAGCATATATACATCCTATGTAAGTTTTAAGCTGCCAGGTCCAGAATTCAAACTGCAGTCAGACATGTGGGAGTCCAGAAATGTAACTGTTATGCTATCTCTTGATCCCTCAAATTACAACAATTTAAAGATCTTAATGGGCTTTATTTGCTGTTCTAGAGGGGGTATTCTTTCATTCCATGAAATAGAATGAGTGCCAGTGAGTTGAGCAAAAAAAGGCTGGTGTCATAGATAGAGAAGGGCTTACAGAGAGCAAAGACAAAGACTCTCTTTGTAAGGTGGGGAACAGGGGGACAGAACAATAGGAACACAACTGAGGGGTTATATCAGGTTATTATAGGGTACATTTGTGTAAGGATTAAAGCAGAAGAACTTCCTTTTGATGATTGAAACTAGCTTGTTTTAGAAATTTTGGCAGTTGTCTCTCATCCCCCTGATTTTTCTGAAGGGCAGATAAACAGCTTAGTTTTGGATTAATGATATGGTACTTCAGTATGACTGACTCCATTTTGATTTTCTGCTCAAGACCCTGAAAGGTGAATGGAGAAGGAATTATGGTGCTGCCGTCTCCCCTGAGGGGTGATTTCTCATTTTCCCTTTCACTGTCTCTGTCTCTCTCTGGCAAGCACACACACCCTAAAGCAAAATCCTCTAAAAAAATTGTTGTAATTTTGTCTTTTGACAGAAGGAAAAAATGCCACTACATATCAAAATAAACACAAGTGAGGGGCAGAAAGACTTAAAGGAAATATTTAATTCTCAACAGCTATTATTTATAAATAACTATAAATACTTTGTCATTTAGCCTCTTTTCCTTTACTAGAAACCCTACTGTATCAGAGAAGGAAGCATTAAAAAGTAATCCCAAAATGTTTTAAGTAATACAACCACTGTTTCAAGATTCCCTGATTACTTGCTGTTAGATTCACTATGGAAGCCAATTTGAACCTTTTAACTCACTGAATCAGTTGAAAATAGACTTCTATCCCAGTAACTGATTTTTTTTGTCCTCACTCTGAACTTCAGAACTATGGGTAAACTCGGAGTTTTTGTTAAAGTGAGAGCTGTATTTCAAAACTCTCTGATGAATTTCCACAGAAAGACCTCGGCAAGTTAGAAACCACAGCCTAGTCTACTGAGCTCCTACTTTTTTCCCCAATTTAATATGGAAATAGGGTGAATGCAACCCTCTAACAGACAAAGCAGAAGGATGCCCCCCAAACCCAGAAATGCTGACCAAGTTGATTAGATGAAACAAAAGTTTAAAAGCCAACTAAATACCACAGTGGTTCTGCAAAAGGACCAAAGGCCTTCTGCAAAAGCCTTCAGAATCCCTTGCCTTACCAGCTCCAGATTTTCACAAAGACCCTCTGCCACATCCCTAGCCTTCTGTGCTGCAAACTGCTGAGGGCAGGTAGGGTTTCAGCATCTTTACACCAGGCCTGGCACCTAATCCTGTGTGCATGGCTGAAGCTCGGAAATTGTGCCAACGGTGACACTCAGAGGGGAACCTATGGAGATCTGTGATCACTAGAGGCATGAATCCTATGTGCAGCAAGTAGAGCTACCTCCCTCAGTCCTGCATTTTGTTGCAGCATGGGCATCTATTAATGAATGGGTGTGCCTGCCCCCAATTGTCTATCTCCTATTTATTGAAGACACATTTTATAAGAGAATACAGTAGGTTTCCAGTTGGGGGATTCTCTCAATGAGGTGTGGATTAGAACCACTTGTGGATCTATATGCATCACCACACCCTACCCTCATGCAGTGGAGCAGCAATTGCTAGTGAATGAAAGAGCCACAGGGCATTTGGATAAAGAGTCCTGACAGGTAAGGAGATGGAAATTCTCTAAGCTCTTGGAGTCTTTGCAAAAGCCTGCTGAATTCCAATCATTTAATCAGGAAGCAAGTTTCTATGGCTTGCAGGTGTCCCCACAACCACTAGAGGGCGGCCTCGCAGGGCTGACCAGTATGGGAATAGCCCTGGTCTGAATATTCAGATACCCTTTTAAAGAAACACTATTCCAGGAACCAGCACTTGGTGTAATGGCTACATCGCTGGATTCCCATGTAGATGACCGCAGCTCGAGTCCAAATCTCAGACCCGGTGGCTTAAACTCACGCTGGGCGTGTGTGTGTGTGTGTGCGTGCCCAAGATCCCGAGAGGAGAATGGAGGAGAAGGGATTGCGGTGTGTGTGTGTGTGTGTCTGTGTGTGGGGAGGGGATTTCTCGCTTTCTGTCTGTCTCTTTCTGGCGAGCACACACACCCTATAGCAAAAACCTCTCTGAAAAAAAAAAAGAAAAGAAAAAAGAAATACTATTCCCCTTAAATAATAAAACCTGCAGTGCCTTCTTGTCTGAAAACTGGGTGTCAGGGACTACTTGTTCCTAACCTACCCATAACAATCATAACACAAACTGCTTTTTAGCTTCTAGTTGGGTCAGGCAACTACACCCGTGGGCCAAATCCAGCCCAATGCATATGTGTTTGCCATGGTTGGGAGGAAAAACTCACATAAGTAATATATCATGATATGTGAGAATCCTATGAAGTTCAATCTCCAGTGTCCATGAATGAATTGGGGCAAGGAACACCCATTCATTAATGGATATCTGTGCTGTTGTCACACTGCAACAGTGGAGCTGGGTTCTCTCCAGAGAGCTCCTGGTACACACTGCTAAAGTCACTAACAATCTAACCCTTTACGGAAAAGTTCTGACACCACCCCTGTTTCCATCATCAAATGTTCCTTGCCTAGAAAGCCATTTTTCCATGTTAACACACCCTGCATGCCGTAAGGGATGGTTCTCAGTGTCACTGTCACTAATGGAGGAGAATCAGACATCTAACAGAGGGCTAGGCAAAGACAGCTCCTGGTCACACTGGCGCAACACCACCTGTTTCTACATTGCCCGTGAGCTAAAAATGAATTTTCTCTTTAAATGGTTGAAAAGCAAACAAACGAATAATATCTCATAACGCATGAAAATTATAGGCTACTCATAACTAAAATATTACTGGGACACAGCACGCCCATTTTACTTATCTGCTGTCTATGGCTACTTTTGGAGCTAAGTAGTCTTGACAGACACTGTGGCCTACAAGATCTAAAATATTTACTTTGGCCTCTGTAGAAAATGTATGTCAATGCCTATTCTACGAAATGAAAATATTAGTATTTCAACAATTGCACTTGCTTAAAATAAAAGACTATAAGTGTAGACTTGGAATTAAGAATTTTGCATTTTAGAAATTACAAAGACGATGTGAACAATTTTATTATCTAAATTAACAGCAATGTGATGCTTCAAGAAGCTTGATTTCCTCCCACAGGGTTTAAGCAACCACAAATGGCAAAGAAATCCTAGGAGTTGAACGTTGAACGCTCTTTACCTCGTTTATTTCATTAGTTCGTCTCCCTTCAAAGCCAGCAAACACACCACTCCCTTCCTTGCTAGGAGTCAGAGGGATAGGTGAAGAGGATCTGCTATGCACAGGTGTCTCTTCAAAAGAAAAAAGATGTCATTATTTGCCTGTAAGTTACACAACAATTGAATTAAAGACTGTCATCAAGACCGTTATAAAGGGAAAAGAATCAATCTAATATCAGTTATCAAAAATTATTAAACTTTAACAATAAAACTTTCCCATTACAGCATCTGGAATGCTATTTGGCTTGAAAAAAAGAACAAGGTACTGAGCCATGGTACAAGGTGGAAGAATCTTGAAAACACTATCCTAGGTGAAAGGAGCTGATCACAAAGGCTCATGAACTGTATGACTCTATTGACCTAAAATGTCCAGGATAGGCACCTCCACAGAAACAGAAATAAGATTTCTGGTTGCCAGGGGCTTGCAGCAGGGCAAACCGGGGGGACTGCTAATGGGCTGGGGTCTCTTTCGTTCACCCACAAATAAACCTACTCTTTTCCAGGTGCAGGAACAGCTTGGGCATGCTGGCAGACGTGTCCTGCTGCCGGCGCTTGGGCTGAGGTGAGGCACTACTCTCAGACAGCCTGTCACAGTTGGCACTGTGGCGCGTAGAGCGCCTCAGAGACTGCAGTGCTTCTGGCTCAGCTTTGCGCCTTTTGGGGGTGGCTGGTTCACCCGTGGTCAGCTGACTCTCAGTGGACTGTGGTGTGGATGGCTTCAGCAGAGGTGGGCTGGGAGACAGCTCCTCCTGGCTCCTAGAGAAGAGGAGAGGGTCATATGCAGCCAGTCAGCAGTCTTTGCAGAACCTGGAGGGCCTCTCCAAAGGCCTTGTGAGGATAGAGCAGAAAGCACACTCTCCACTCCAGGAGAATTATGAATCTGCACCCCGAAATGTACCAAAGTGCATACTTTCTTATGAGAACCAGCAGGTGGCATGGTGGTTAAGGTGCTGGACATTCTCACATGGCCAACCAGTTTTGATTCCTGGACTTGGTGGCTTGCTTTCTTACTCCCCGCCACCCCCCCATGTATGTCTCTCTCTGGTCAAATTAAAATAAATGAATGAATAAAAATAATTAAATAATTTTTTTAAAAAAAGTAAATATATGAAATCATTTAAATCCTCTTCACAGTTCTACAAGGCAAGCTGGAATTAACCATTATGGTGGCCCCTTTATGTTTGTCTTGGAGAAGTAGCTCTCAATTGGGAGCAACTGTGCCCTGGCAGGGTACATTTTTTTGGCAATGTCTGGAGACATTTATGGTTCTCAAAACTGAGGGAAGGCATACTACTGGTGTCTAGTGGGTAGAGGCCAAGAAAATTCCTAAATGTCCTAGAGTGTACACAGGACAGCCCACCAAAGAGAACGATCCAGATCAAAACAGCAGTAAGAGTGAGGCAGAGAAGCCCTGGTCTACAGAATGAGACCCTCACATGTTATCATCTAAACAGAAACATAGGCAGCACAAGAAAAGGTCATAAGAATCTGGGGAACTGTGAGGGAAAACAGACCCTCCTACCCTCCCCCAAATGCTGGGGATCTCAGGGCTTAAGGTAGGCCTTGAAACTCTGACCCAGGTTCCTAGCAAGCCTGGCAGACATCTCACCAAGGGTAAAAGTGATGTGTGGAAGCAAGAGAGAAAAGAAACCACTAAAGGCAGGCTGAAAGGAGCTGGTGGTGACACTAACAGAGCCAGGAGAGCCAGAGCATGGCAGGCAGGGAGAATGAGGAAGGTGGTCACCAGAGGCCTAGTATGGAGCAAGATGGAATTTAGTAGAACCTTGGGCTGAAGAGTATGGCAAGGGGTATGCCACGTGAGGGTAGGCGGTGAGCAGTAAAGACACAGAATGCTGAGAACAGACCACTCTCTCAGGAGCAGCAGAATAGGGGAGAGCATATAGCAGTTTACAGAGATTAAGGGTCAAGACTTCAGTTTGGGGATTCCCCCCCCCCTCAAAAAACAGAGATTAGAACATGCCTGGTTACCAAGAGAAGAAAAGCATGACATAACAGGGCAGATGGGAACAAACCTTCACTGGAGGCCTTCCATGTTCAGGCTTATATCTGGGAGGCAGACAGTGATGTCATCATGCAGGTGCAAAAACAAGAGTCTCAGAGTGGCTCCCATGTGGCCAACCAACTGAGCCAGGGAGCTCTGTTCACCTCACCTTCTACTGCTCTCAAAAGATGTAAGGGCAGTGCTCAATCCCACCTCAGTTCTCTACACGATGATCTTCATTTGGTAAAGGATCTCAGAGCCATGTAATAGTGAGCAGTGACCCAGCTTGCCCAGGAATAAAGCAAGCCACCAAAATGGGCACTTTTCAATCTTTCCCTCCTTCAAGCACCTTGGCCCAAAACCTCAGACTGTACTGATTTAATTATTATATTACTGACATCTGAGGGTAAGAGTACAAATTAGCCAACTTACCTATTAGTGTTTGTGGCACTTTCCTTAATTGGAAGAAAAAATTTAGCTGAAGTCACCTTTTTATATTGAGCTTGTTCATATGGATAAAGCAAAACCAACGGGAGCGTGTAATCAAACGTTATTCTTAATCCATCCACCATCTCCTTACAAAGGTCGACACTGGGAAGAGTCAAATGAAGAGATCAGAGACACATAAAGCAGTAGGGAAGGATATTCCAAAGTTTCCCAACAAAATTGTGTATTTTTAGTATAATTTTTAAATTTAAACATTAGTTATCGTATCTACTCACATAGAGAGTGAAACAGAAGCCAGAGGATAGCACAGTGTAATGCTACACTCTGCAGTGCTGCACCACATGGGAAGGTCTCAGGTTTGTATCCTGGGGCTTCCCTTTGCATGCTGGGTACTTATGCATATGGCCATGATCTGGGCTAGCTGAGGCTGGGAATGGAGTGAGGCATGGCTACAGTTGAGAGTGCCTGTCTTTCTCCTTAAATGATATCACTGAAAAAAACTGGTCTCAATGCTAATATAGCGTGTTCTCAATGCATCTAGAGCAGATGTATAAACAGTTATTGAAGATTTCACAAGAGTGTCAATATTTTGACATTAGGTTGATTATTCGATGCAATATTGATAAATTATTAAATAATGTATTAAAAATTCAAAATAACTGGAGGAAACTGTTGACTATTTTAAATGGAAGCCACTTCTCTAACACATGAGAGGAGCACAGGATACCAAGCATACTGGTACTCACTTTTTTTCCGCTGGGATATAATGCACGTTCATGCTGGCATGCTGCATAGTGTGATGGTGACGAGGCCTCTCATTGGCAGAAAACGCTGCATTGATAGCAAAATGCTTCACATAGGATTCCAAAATAGTGATGATGTTGGTCTGGCATGGAAGCTTCACTAACTGTTAACAAAACATAAACACTTGATGTGTGTATCTCATTGTAATAAACCACATATTCCAAGAAAGTGGTCATGTCTATATCACTTTTTTAGCTCAAAAAGAAAGCAAAGTCAACTCGGTTTGAACAGAACTTCTTAAATCACATCCTCATGTTCATTACTATTGCGAATGAATGGGAGCATTGCAAGTCTTAGTGATCCCTTAGAACTTGAGAGCCTCTGTATGTATGCTCTCAGCTGGTCCCACCACAGATCAATCAAGTTTTACCCTTTTGACTGTGGCCCAGGCAACAGGACTCTGGAAAGCTCCCCAGAGGATTCTAATGGGCAGCCAAGGCTATGTGAATTTTGGTAAACAGCACACAACAGCACACTGTCATAGAGAGCCTAAAAATCTAACACAGTCCGAAACTGAAAATGTAAACCTTACTGCTCCAAGCTTCTCAGGTGTTTGAATTTGTGATTGCAAAATAGGGTAAAAAGAAAGCACTTTAACAAATCCACGTTTTATATGTTCCCCTGTATACCCGTTTCCGCCTGTTAATATAATAACAATCATCCTCAAGCTGCTTCTTCAGAACTTCAGGGATTTCTATAGTTATTGTTCTTTCTTCCATTTCTCTTTTTGTTGGGAGCTCCAATTCTTCTTTCTGCAATATCATAATTCCATTTTTAACTATTTCAAACAGTAGGAAAGTCTGTGTCAAAGGGTCTAACACGGGAAAGCCCACTATGAAACAAACCCAGTTAATCCTCAACATTCACATTCTGCCTCATGTTCTAATTGAAAGTCGGGCAAAGGCCCAGCTGTGATAGCATGTGGTAGTTGATGCCGCACCTACTCTGCTGGTCAAGTCCACATGAGAGGCTTGGGTTCGATTCTTGACCTGCCCTAAAAGTCAGGTATGGTGGTATGCATCAGTAGTTTCAGCTACTCTGGAGACTAAGGCAGGAGGACTGCAAGTTCAAGACTAGCATGGACAACATAGCAAGACCCTATCTCGTAAAAGTGAAGAATAAAATATATATTCATTGAGCTGTCAGAAAAGTCATGGCATATTTTTCTATGCAAAAATGCATCATGACTTTTCCAGCGACCCAGTAGTAAAGGTTAAAATTCATTCAACCTGTTTTACAGCACTAAGCAAGTTGCAAATGCTTATTTCACTTCTTCATTTAAGTTTACCACTGATTTATGTTAACTTTGGAAAGAGGCAGAAAATGCCAAATTCTGTTACATTCCATTAAAAAATTAATCATCGTTATAAAATAAGGTTCACAATTTGATTGGAAAGAAAACTATTTGTGGAAACACTTTATGGGCAATCACTGAGAGACTGACAGCAATTATAAAGAAGGGTTATTATTCTTTCAACATCAAGTAAAAATTTATAATATTGATTTTTTGAATGTACATTTTGAAAATAATTCAAGGCTCAAGAATGTATCATGAAATTTTATCACTTAAATATACACCAAAGACCAAGAATTTTTATAATAAAAACTTCATACCACTTCAGTCTTTTCTTCAATGTCACTTTCTTCACTTATTTCTTCATCCTTTTCTTCACTACTGGCACCAGAGGAACTGCTTATTGCTAGGTGAAGCAAAAATAGCAGGAAACCTCAAATTATAAACATCACAAACCCTGAAGTTTATAAATCTTTAGGTGCAGCATGCATTATTATGAGTAATAAACTTCAGTCCTACACACCAATACCATATCTCCCTGAATAGAAATTTATTTTGACAAATAGAACACCAGTTTCAATTGATGCAAAAATCATACAAGGTAATGATTTGAAAGTATCTCATCAGCCTAGATCCTACAGTTACCAGTTGAATTCATAAATGGAGCCAAGGCCTGGGAGGAGCCAAGAAGAAAAGGGACCATGAGAAAGGAGTTGTTGCAGGACCATCAGTTAGCGTAATGGCTATGTTGCTGTACTCCCACGTAGTTGACAGCAGTTCACGTCCCGGACCCGGTGGCTTAAAACTCACGCCGGATGCGTGTGTGTGCGTGCCCAAGATCCCAAGAGGAGAATGGAGGAGAAGGGATTGCAGGGTGGCCATGCCCCCTGGGGGGTGACTTCTCACTTTCTGTCTCTATGTCTCTGTCTGTCTGGCGAGCACACGCGCCCTATAGCAAAAACCTCTTTAAAAAAAAAAAAAGTGCGAACCAGCAGTTAGCGTAATGGCTATGTTGCTGGACTCCCACGTAGTCGACCGCGGTTCTCGTGCCGGACCTGGTGGCTTAAAACTCACGCCGGGCGCGTGTGTGTGCATGCCCAAGATCCCGAGAGGAGAATGGAAAAGAAGGGATTGTGGTGTGACCATCCCCCCTGGGGGGTGATTTCTCGCTTTCTGTCTCTCTGTCTCTCTCTGTCTGTCTGGCGAGCACACGCGCCCTATAGCGAAAATCTCTCAAAAAAAAAAAAAAGGAGTTGTTGCAAAGATGTTGTCTGAGAAGGCAGTTGTCATAAGCATGGCTCTGATAAGGTCCTATTACTAACTTATGGACTTACATTAACTGCTATTTTAATTGTCAAAAAACACAAGGGGAAAATACAAACAAGTTTGAAATGTTTTGCTGTCTATAATTTCAATGAACACTCCTTTCCCTAGTCCTGAAATAAGAAAAGATTAGGAGAAAGTTCTTTTAGTAAAAGAAAATGAGGCCAAGCAACTCACAGTTTTCATCATTTTCATCTTTTTCTTCAGTGGGGAGGCTTTTTAAGACAGAGTCAACACCGGGCAACCTGCAGCGTTTCTTCTTTCTTCCTGTGCTTCTCCTCAAAAAGATAAACACAACTGAAACAAACTCTGACATTGACCAAAACAAGATATAATGAACAGTAATTCTTAAATACCTGAAAAATAATTGAACTTCAGAACATAACGGGTAATCTCCACTTCAGAGTATTTTATAATGACCACTCTGAAAACATCGCAATTACACTGTTCTCTGAGACACATTAGATAAGATTACTCAGTAAGCAATGATTGAGATTTTGTTACTTTTACATCATAAAAACTCAAAACATTAAGAGAAAACTCATAAAAAATATTTATGTTATGATTTTTGTATTCTTACAGGCGAGCTACAGCTTTTCTTGCCAATTTCCGCTGTAATCTACGATTTTCATCGGTATCACGAAGCACATGATCTTCGGCTGCCCATCTATCCCAGCTAATTGATCAAAAAAAGGGAAGAGAAAGTGAAATCCATTATTTTAGTGTGATATGAAAAAATACTAAAAGCACCTCACAGAACAAAAATGCCCCAGAATTGTATTTTCGAGAACCATTTAAATGTTTAAAAATCAGAGACTACCTAAGAACTTAAAAAGTCAGTCCTTCAGACAAGGTAACAAATGAGGTTTCTAGAAGTACCCCCAAGAAAATCCAAATATAATCCACTTGAAAAGTAACCATTCCTCAGAATTGACAAGCTTTGATAAAAACCAAAAACAGGAAATAAAGCTTATTTACGAGTGTTTCTAAAACTTAAAACAGTTTGCAATGTTCTTGTGCTGCAAAGGTAATGGTATTCTGCCTAGTTTACAAGCACACTCACCTTCTGTTCCAACCATTAAAATGGATCAGATATTCTGGGATCTTTCTGCCTTTTTCGTCTTTCCCAACAATAACATCGACAATCTGAAACCAGGAAATAATGCTCACGAATAACAGAAAATTGTAAGTTAAATCAGGAAAATTAGGTCATAGACATTTTTTTAAAAAAGATTTTAAGCATTCTCTCCTTTTTTAGACCGAGAGCTGGACTGAAACATTTTTCCTTTCAATACCATTTTTTTTTTATTTGAGTGGGTGCCTCAAAATAGGAAACATCCCTCCAACCACTCTGTAATTGGTCTCTTAGGTCAGAGACTGAGTAAGATTTCCGAAGCCATTGGCCAGCCCACTTGTCACTACCTAAAGTCCAGGCAAGAGTGAAGCTTTGAGACCTCTGGGAGTTGTAGTCTCAAGGGCACCACTGAGTACAGGGCTGGGTGGCTGGCAGAAAACTCTGGCATCTCTCCCAGCTGTGTCCCCAGAGGGAGCCTCTGGAGCAAATGATGAGTGTGTCCCTGGCAAGGCTCAGGGGTGGGGCAAAGAGAAAAACCGAGATGGGGGCTGCAGGAGAGGGCCTCCAAGGTGCACAAGAGCAGCTCAGAGACCCTGGGGTGGCCCCAGCAGCTTCGCCCAGGTGGCCCTGGGGAAGGGAACCAGTCTCCACCCACAGGACACTAAAATGAGCTTTCTTTGGGGCTCCAGGAGGACTTCGGGGCCCACTCCTACCCACCACTCAGACCTTAAGAGATATGTGTCTCACCCCCAGAGTCTTAATGGGCTCTGGGTACGATTCTGCTCAAACGCGGTCAGACCTACCGAAACCTTCAGGAATTGAAATCGTAAATACTCCAAGGACCTAAGGAACGAAGGCACTGGGCCAATCTTGTCCTATAAACGGTGGTGGCTCAAGGGGCGGG